AACTTGATATTGTGTACTTCCCTATATTTTGCAAACAAGACTGGTTCGTGGAGTTACTCCAATCGAGCATCATCGATCATTGGGGCGGTAGCAATCAAGCTCCCAATTATCGATACTGCTCCGAGTTGCTCTGTTCCAGTGCCTGGAGTAACGCGATGTTTATTCGTGGCTATGGCTGGAATCAGACCGTATCCGACCCGAGTGAAACGTCTGACGTCGAACTCAACCGAGGTGACATGGTCCTGGTTCGCGGGGAATTTATTCACGCAGGCACGGCTTATCAGGAGGTGAATATCCGTCTACATAGCGTTCTGGAACCCCCGAAATATCGGCACTCGCCAAACACGACTATGCTTGTTGCGATGCTGAACCCAGAGGCATGGCACAACAATAGACTTTTTCGTTTTTTTTTCTTTTTGTCGCTAACTAGCGATTTCACGATCAGCTTTCTCCAGTTCCCCCTCTCAACCTTCTGTTTTCCGTATCTATTTTAGCGCTTGTCGTCGACGTCCGCCCATTGTTTCAACATCTTCAAAGATCTCATCAAACTTATTGTGATCATTGCGCGCCGGTAGAGCAACGGTTCGATCCAGATAATGTAGAAACTTCTCTGGCACCACACGTCGAATTGCCAAGTAGACGAGCCGATTCAGTCGTTCTTGCTGCTGCATATTGACGAAATATCGTTGCACACGGAACATCCAAGCGTACTTTAAAAGCATATTTCAGTAAATCTTTGATCCCTCGTTTCAGGAAACAATCTTTTGCTTCGAAGTAATATTTATATTTAATACTTTAAACATACATACAACGGTTCAAACTTCGAATCTCCCCCTGACAAGACCGGTAGCCAATATATGGTATTCCGCTTGCCACCCAATTCTAGCTGTTTGTGATCCATAGACATTCGAGGAGCATTTCACTCGGTCAATCTTGCTGAAATGCAACTGTTGACTTTGTTTGTACAGTAGCCGAGCACCGTCGCTTGCGGCGGGTATTTATGTAGGTCTCAATTGCTAAAGTCTTTCCCGCCTTCGGCGGTATAACACCCTTTTTAAACCAACATCTGTTTACCGATTACGATTAATGATTTCCTTTAATCCATTGGACGCCACCCAAAACTGTCATAACCCCAACACCTTGAAAACTAAGGACATAAAATAGGACCAAAAGTTAGAGCCTTGGTTTGGCATCATCATAGAGAGTTATGTGGCATTACTACCATGGTCGTATACTACGTAAAGGGTTTTGTACGTGTTATAGTTTTCGTAGTGTCTACTGTTGTCCAATAGGGCAAAAATGTATTGCAAAGTTTGTCACTAGTAACAAAGCATACGAGAGTTTTGTTCCAAGGTGAAGTGCGACATAATGAACCCAAATTTAATGGAAGGTTTGTCCTCAGCACCTCTGTTTGTCAGAAATAGCTGTTATACATGACACATCGCCCTTGAGCTGTGTCGGAGAGCCTCCATTTAAATTTTAAGTTGGGTTTTGTCCTATAAGCTGGTTTCAGGACAAAATCGGTCAAACGCCATCGTATTTAAGCGAGTTTGGTCCCTTTTAAATAAATTGGGGATAAGGAGGTAGCATATGCAATCTCTAAATTCGTCGCTAAATATAAAAGTTGCGCAGGGACAAACTGTCATTGATTTCTGATGTATGGCAAATATTACGTGAGGGGGATTGTTGAAGGAAATGTGATGGGCGATAGCTTACACACTCAAAGATATTAATATATGTCGTTGTCGCTGGAGTGCAAAATTAATTTTACCCAGAAGTTTATTGAGATCGGTTTTCGGTCTCACCAGAAGGGCGGTGAGGATATTTCAAGTCTATGAACTCTCGTAG